TGGAGTAATAGCTCATGCAGTATTGATAAGTTTATAATAATAGTTAACATTAACTATGGTTTATCACGCAAGAACAACAACTCAGTGCAGAAATAACGTAATTTACATATTTACAAGCGACAGTAATGACAACCTGCCCTGGAGAGACATGCCGAAAGCACACTGTCACTGTTCGTGTTGATGTTCGTGTTGAATCAATACTGATTTGGGTTTTTCAGTTTCATATTCATTTGTTGACATAAATCTGCGATGAAAGATGCTTTTTACTTACAAATTGAGTGTGACATCATCACCGATCAGGAAGAAAGGAGCCCAGTACTTGGGATCCCTGTGGCCTTCTTTTCTAATGTCATGCATGGCTTTATGAAGACTTACACTCGCACTTTCACCTCGAGTCAGATAATCGTAAAAACTCACCATAAAACTTAAAGTTACACTGTCGTCGATAGCCCACAATGACGCTACGACAGCACGAGCACCGGCCGCAAGGAAAGCACGACTTAGTCCTACCATACCCTCAGCCCTGATCTCACCACGGCCACTGTAGCAACAGCTTAGAACAACAAGCTGAGCTTTCATTCCGATTTCTTGGACTTCCCTCATTGTCAACAGGTAGTCATCTTCTTCTGGGATACCTTGTCTTTCTGGTGAGACATTTGGTGCTAGCGCTATTTCACCATTATCAGAGCTCCCGTGTGCAGCAATGTGAATCACAGCTGATCCTTCTTTCAACTTTTCTAAAACCGTATCTTTGGTAGCTTGTTCGCCGGTCAGTTTGGTCGACTGTCTAAGCATACCAGAAAGAAAGGTGACTTCCTTGTCTGCTGAATGTAAACGTTTAAACACTCGTTTCTTGCCTCTAAACATGACTTCTCCCACAATCGGATCTCCTACAATCAATGCTCCTTTTTGGCTGTGATGATCCACTGGACATTCATTTAGAGCCTTTAATATTGCTATTGATGGTGCAAGGCGAATGCGTTTTTTGTCTGACAGATACTGTCCTGTATTGGGATCTCTGAGGGCAGCAAACGGTACTCTATACATTGGTCCATCCGGTACTATGACAATCTCGTCGTGTTGTACTTCTGATAGGACAGGAGCAACTAAACAATTATACAGCGTTTCAATTGGGAGTGACGCTTGATCGAGTTTCTCTTCACTTGCGCCATCATCACGAGAATGAGATTCAGAAGCTTTAGTAGTGACGTGATCTTTCGATGTAACGCAATCATCAAGTGATCTGTTTTCACAAGTGACGCTTTCTTGGATTTTCATCATTTCATATGCTCTTGAAACCGTAGCAGTAAAGAAACGTTTAATGGAGTTTTCATCATCATCTTTCTTTTCTT